GGGGGGGGGGTTGGAGATGGCAGCGGCCGATGAAGCCGCGGAGCCGAGGAGGGAAGGGGAGAGAGGAGGAGAGAGGAAGCAGGGGGAGGGAGGGAGGGAGCTTGGAGCCAGAATGGGGGGGGTGCCTTGGCAGTGTTAACTCCTTCACTGCTGGCAGGAGCCCGGATAATGGGAAAGGAGATAGAAGCAGGAGCAGAGAGGCCCTACGGCAAACATGGAGATCTAGCTAGCCTCGGTGATGACAGCAAAGACAAGGAGGATGGATTTCATTTCTTAAAAGGAAAAAGCCCACAGCTGGGATGGGGCATCCCTGGAGGGAGGCCACAGCATGGGGTAGGGTCTGAGGGAGGGGCTGGCAGCAGGGACTCCTTCGGGCCTAGTTCTCCCCCAGGATTCCCAGGAAGTCTGAAAAGTAATTATGGCCTGGCCTCTCTGGTGCTGAAACTGGGGCAATCCAACAAAGGGGAGAAGGAGAAGGGGTACAGGGCTGGTTGGCCACAGAAAGAGCACTCTCAGTAGCCCCAACCCCTCAGGCAGTACTCAGGATTTTGTTGCCAAGGCCCATAAGTCTCAGTTTAATATTTTAGTAAGGAATTTGTGTGTCCCTCCAGTCCTGCCTGCTCAGTCAGGAAGCCAGGCACCCACCTTCACCCCCTTACCTGGCCCTCAGAGATGGAAGCCTCATAATAGTCCAGAATGTCTGTTACAGGAAGAGAACTAAGTCACCGCCCACATCCCAGGCCTCTCTGGCCACCCCTGCTACCCATGCCTTCTGTTTGCCAAGACAAGCTCCTCTAGTTAGGCTGATGGATATTGACAGGGGGGGAGGCACAGAGGGATGACTCTACAGAAGCTACAGCTTGGACCAGGTACCCTCAGGCTTCTATCCAGTCCAGAACCTGGAACACTTGCCCTCAGAGGCCCAGGCCAGCCCTTTCCACCGTGACCCCTCAGAACCCTGGAATTACTCACCCAGCAAGGCCTGGAAGAGGTCACTGTGCAGCACTGTAAGGAGGGGAGGTGCCCACCGCAATAGTGGGGGTGCCAAGAGCCAGAGGGCTGACCTGGGAGCTGGTGAGAAGCAAGTGACAAAGGGTTGCGGCCAAGCCACTTACACATTTAGTCATCTAAGGAGTCCCCAGCCTTTGTCCTTTCACTCCAGACCCCATAGTGAGACCCGGGCCCCTATCACAGATCCAGAGCTCCCTTCCAAAGACCCGTTTTTCACCTCTTGGTTTCTGGGACATCTCTTTCTTCTCTTGCTTTAATCTCCCTAATCCGACCAGATTGGAGTTGAGCTGCCTTTTCCCTAAGCAGTTGCAGCTCCTAAAGTAGGCAAGCAGACCGTGGTGTCATTCTGCCACGGGACCCCACATGCCACTTTGCACCACATAGTATGCGCCCCAAAAGCCAGTATAATTTAGCTACTTTCCTGAAAAGTGGGAAAGAGGGATTCTCTAGCCGGGCGGTGGTGGCGCACGCCTTTAATCCCAGCACTTGGGAGGCAGAGGCAGGCGGATCTCTGTGAGTTCGAGACCAGCCTGGTCTACAAGAGCTAGTTCCAGGACAGGCTCCAAAACCACAGAGAAACCCTGTCTCAAAAAACCAAAAAAAAAAAAAAAAAAAAAAAAAAAAAAAAAAAAAAGAGGGATTCTCTAAGGCAGTTCCAACAATTCAAAAGAGTTAAGTTGAGCCCAGCTCTTTCTCGTCCCAGGCCTGACCACAGTGAGAAGTATGGAAAGAGGGGTATACACGGGTCAGTGACATGTCTCACTGGGAAAGGGGACTTGCTGCCAAGCCTGACATCAGGGACCCACAGAAAGGTGGAAAGAGAGAACTGACATTAAAAGCCATCTTCTGACTAGCGCTTGTGTGAGCACACACACATAAACCACCGACTAGCGCTTGTGTGAGCACACACACATAAACAACCAACTAGCGCTTGTGTGAGTGCACTCACATAAACAAATACACTTTTTGGTTTTGTTTTTGTTTTTTTTTTTTCAAGACAGGGTTTCTCTGTAGCTTTGAAGTCTGTCCTGGAACTCCCTTTGTAGACCAGGCAGGCCTCGAACCCACAGAGATCCGCCTGCCTCTGACTCCCAAGTGCTGGGATTAAAGGTGTGCGCCACCACCGCCCGGCAAACAAATACACTTTTAAATCAGGCTTAGGAGGGGGCTGGAGAGATGGCTCAGAGGTTAAGAGCACTGGCTGCTCTTCCAGAGGTCCTGAGTTCAATTCCCAGCTGCTTCACCAAGTGCTGGGGCTATATGTGTGTGCCACCACCCGGCTCAGCGACTAATGCTCTTAATTGCTGAGTATAAGCTTCTTGTTATTTGGAGTTTAAAAACAAAGCAAAACAGAGTTTCTGAGGCCTCAAATTCACGGTGATCCTCCTGGCTCAGCCTCTCCGAGAGTCCATGAAAAAGACCAGAGGCTTCTACTATGTGCTTTGTGCTTTTAGAGGTTTTGAACTGGTGAAACCTCCTAGATCTCAGAATTTGCTTAGAGCACACTCCAGCTTGTATCTGCCACCTCATCCCCCTCTTTATTTGTTGGAGACATTTTCCAAACAATTCATGCCTCTGCACCTGACATACACCTTCCATCCTTTTTCTCTCCCTCTAAGAAGTCCTCCCTCCAGTCTACCTCCATCCCCTGGCTGTAGTCACTTAAACTCTTCCCCCTTTCGCCCATCTTATCTCATTCATATTTAGCAGACAAGACTTTAGTTCAGACCTGAGGCATTAAAGAGTTTGAGAAAGAAAACGGATCGCTGGAAGATCTTTCACTCTAGGTCACTCAGAATACAAGGACCGGGCGCACGCCGGAACTTCAGCTCCCACCATACATCGGGGCCGGAAAGACCACGCCCCCAGCGCAGTGCATTATGGAGCAAGAGTCAGGGCCCAGACTCAAAATCTTTAGCCAGGCTGGACGTAAGGAGAGGTCAGCGGTCAAGGCTTCTGGGGCAGCTTGGAGATGCAGTCGGCTTGGATGAGCCCGAGTGTGGGGCGGCACCTGCTGCGGCTGGGAACCCGAAGGTCTGTATATGGCAGGGGGACAGCGGGTCTGGAAACCAGGGCAGGACTGAACCCCGACTCTTTACAGTTCGCAATCTACTGTGCTTCTGAGACAACATCGGCCCACCTCTGCCCAGCGACTTTATGCCAGTGAGGCCGCTCAGGTAAGTGACGGATGAGGGAAAGGGGCATAGAAGTGGGAGTTGTATGCTTTCACTAGCCTGCGACCAACAGGGGTCTCTGTCTTCATCCCAGTCACCTGACTGGTGAAAACTCTGGCACCGAAAGTAGGGGAAAGGGCAAGCCAGGGTGCCCTAGTGAGAAAGTAGGGGAAAAGACACTTGATCGCACAGTTCCCAGGGCCAGTGCTTCCCGGTGTTCTCCGCGGCACACCCATCTCGAGCCTTTTAACTGCTCTTCCTCCCCTTTCCCCAGGCAGTTCTGGACAAGCCAGGAACCCTCTCCTCCGATGCTTCCACCAGAGAAAAACCAGCCAAGGCAGTAAGTGACCCGGAAATTGGATTGACCTCTCTAAGCCCGGAGTAGACCCACCCCAACCAGCCCCCTGAAACGTTTCTTCCTTGCCCAGGAATCCAAGTCCTTTGCAGTGGGAATCTTCAAAGGCCAGCTCACCACCGATCAGGTGTTCCCATACCCATCTGGTAAGCAAAGGGTAGTCAGAGGCAGTTAGGCAGGGCGGCCTCCCTACCTGACTGGCCTGTTTGTTTTCCCACTCTGCAGTGCTCAATCAGGAACAGACACAGTTTCTCAAAGAGCTGGTGGGACCAGTGGGCCGGTTCTTTGAGGTAAGCAATGAATGGGGCACGCCCCCCTTGGGATAGGCAGATGTTAAGCTTAAAGGAGCCTCTGAATGTGGGATCCTATTCCTTGCCCAGGAAGTGAATGACCCTGCCAAGAATGACTCCTTGGAGCAGGTGGAGGAGAAGACTTTGCAGGGTCTCAAGGAACTGGGGGCATTTGGTCTGCAAGTACCCAGTGAGCTGGGTGGTTTGGGCCTCTGCAATACCCAGGTGAGAGGACTCTTCCCTCTTGTTAACTAACGGCCCAGTCAGCTTCCTCACCACCAGGGCCACGCACAGCCAGGGTGCTTGTCTGCCTGCTGTTTCTCAGCTATGCAGACACCCTCCCCTGAAAACACCATCTATGTGTAGCCCACTAGGACCAAGGTCCTAACCCTGAACCAAAGTCTTTAGGGACTGTGTGGCAACAGGGTAGTGGGCAATATTCCCACCAAGGCCAGGGGCAGTTGGGCATAGCAGTGCATGCCTTTAATCCCAGCACGCTGGGGGCAGAGGCGAGGGGACCTCCGAGTCTGAGGCCAGGCTGACCAGGGCTACATAGTGAGACTGTCTCAGGAAACAAAAGATCTAGGCCCTTTGGTGTCCCTGCTCTTGTTTCTTCAGGAAAGGGAGGTGCATGCTAGGTGAGCACTCTACCACTGAGCTACACCACCAGTCCTCCCCAGGCTGAACTTTCAGGGTCCCACATTACTCTGACATGCTCACAGTAGAGATGACACAGGTCAGCCGCTGCGCTGCCCTGTTGCCTGTACTCTCCTGTTGAGGCCCAGTTCAGTGTAGCTCGTTACCATCCCAGACGCCTTCTTCCCCTCCAGTATGCTCGCTTGGCAGAGATCGTGGGCATGCATGACCTTGGTGTTAGCGTTATCCTGGGAGCTCATCAGAGCATCGGTTTCAAAGGCATCTTGCTCTTTGGTACAAAGGCCCAGAAAGAAAAATACCTCCCCAAAGTGGCATCTGGTAAGACCACCTTAGGAGGCCTAGGGGTAAGAAGTGTAAGTGGCTCGTGGTGTCACAAGGAACTGCCTGGGGATAGTATGGGAAGGACACAACTTTGATGGTCAGCAGGATTTCAGGCAAACCTGTTCCTCCCCAACAGGGAAAGCTTTGGCTGCTTTCTGCCTAACTGAGCCCTCGAGTGGGTCGGATGCAGCCTCCATTCGAACCTCAGCTGTACCCAGCCCCTGTGGGAAATATTATACTCTCAATGGAACCAAGATCTGGATCAGGTAATCTTCTGTTTCTCTTCATCCCTTCAGCCCAATCTCCTGACCTCGCTGCTCTAAGCCACACCACTTACTGATCGCCTCCTTCTTCCACAGCAATGGGGGCATCGCGGATGTTTTCACTGTCTTTGCCAAGACACCGATTAAAGATGCAGCCACGGGGGCCGTGAAAGAGAAGATCACAGCTTTTGTGGTGGAAAGAAGCTTTGGAGGTGTTACCCAGTGAGTGAGCGTGGGGGAAGACAAGGTAGAATCGAGGGGACAGCATTGGGCTCTCAAAAGCAAATGGTTGTTACAGGTCACACTGGGGCATGTACAGGAGCCAAAGGAAGTGGGCAGTTTGTTTCCTTGGGGGTACACAGGGTAACAGGACATAGCCAGACCTCCGTAACCCTAGGACCCATGGGCAGTACCCTGTCCTCTCTACAGCCTGGGGACCTCCTCCCGGATCATAAGGCAACCTATTCACACCTCAACTTTCCTGCCCTGCCTTTTCAGTGGGCTCCCTGAAAAGAAGATGGGTATCAAAGCATCCAACACAGCAGAAGTGTACTTTGACGGAGTGAAGGTACCAGCTGAGAACGTGCTAGGAGAGGTGGGAGGTGGCTTCAAGGTTGCTGTGAATATCCTCAACAATGGAAGATTTGGGATGGCTGCAACCCTAGCAGGCACCATGAAGGCCATCATTGCCAAAGCGGTAAGCCTTGTCTCCATCCCTAGCTAGCCTAAAGGAATCACTCTGCATGAGCCCCTGCTATCTTGTAGGCACTCCCTCTGTCAGAGCAATACACTCACACACTCTTCCAGATCTAAGTTAAGGCTCCAGTCCCCACCCCAGTGGAGACTGCACAGCCACGAGTGGGATACACGTGCCTTTCAGGTTGATCATGCTACTAACCGTACCCAGTTTGGGGACAAAATTCACAACTATGGGATGATCCAGGAAAAGCTGGCTCGGATGGCAATTCTGCAATATGTGACTGAGGTAAGGGCTTCCTGTGTCCCTCCCCCTGGAGCCCTATAGCTTTCTTCACAGTTGGGTCAGACTACAACCCCCAGCAGCACCTGGGGCAGTGGGTCTCCAGCTTTACACCAATGCCCTAGGGGATGCGAGGAGGCATAGTCAGTTCAGCTTCTGAAGGAGCGATGCTGCTCGGCTAAGTGCTTCCTGGATGCTTTCCCAGAGACTAATTCTAGCCCATCCCTTAAAAAGTCTGAGGCCTGGAGCTGGGTTCACCAACCCAGAGGACCACCTACTGGATGTCTGACCTGACCAGGGGTTAGAGAAAGTGAATGCGAGGACTGTGGGGGCGCAGAGAGGAGCTGGTCTTGCAGACTGGAGTATGAGCCATCCTGCCTGACGCAGCCCTTTCCTGTTTTCTTCCCCACATCCCAACAACGCCCCTTCAGTCCATGGCTTACATGCTGAGTGCCAACATGGACCAGGGATTCACAGACTTCCAGATAGAGGCCGCCATCAGCAAAATCTTTGGCTCGGTGAGGACCAGGGCGTGATGGAAGGGCAGAGTTCAGTTCAGGAGTTCAGCTCCAAAACCAAACTCCTCTGGTTCTGTGTCCCTAGGAGGCAGCCTGGAAGGTGACGGATGAGTGCATCCAGATAATGGGGGGCATGGGCTTCATGAAGGTACGGAGTGTGCATCCAGTAACGGGGGGCATGGGCTTCATGACGGTATGGAGTACTCCTCAGCATGGTCGTCCTACCAAGTGGACAGAGGTTTATGTATCTTCCCCTGCACTAGGAACCTGGAGTAGAGCGTGTGCTCCGAGATATTAGAATCTTCCGGATCTTTGAAGGGACAAATGACATTCTTCGACTGTTTGTGGCTCTGCAGGGCTGTATGGTAAGAAGAAGGGAGAGTAAGGGAGGGGAAGCGTGAAAGACACTGAGTCCTGACCTTGGGACCTTCCTCCCCCACAGGACAAAGGAAAGGAACTCTCTGGGCTGGGCAATGCCCTCAAGAACCCTCTTGGGAATGTTGGCCTCCTGATAGGAGAAGCGGGCAAACAGCTGAGGCGGTGAGCCAGTGCACAGGGTCAGGGGAAGACAAGATGGTATGTATACACCAACTAGCCAGCCACTTACTCTTCCATTTCTCTCCAGGCGGACGGGAATTGGCAGTGGTTTGAGTCTGTCAGGGGTTGTCCACCCTGAGTTAAGTCGCAGTGGTGAACTGGTGAGTGGCCCTTAGAGCAGAGCCTGCAGCAAGGGGCTGCCTGCTTTTTCTGAGCTCTGTGACTCTTGTCTCTGCAGACAGTACAGGCTCTGGAGGAATTTGCCACTGTAGTGGAGGCCACGCTGATAAAGCACAAAAAAGCGATTGTCAGTGAGTGAGCTCTACAACCCCCTTACCTCCTGTCAACTCCCTCCCTCTCTCCTTCCCTCCCTCAGACTACTAACCCCCACCCTCATCTACCTGACAGACGAACAGTTCCTGCTGCACCGGCTGGCAGATGGAGCCATTGACCTCTATGCCATGGTGGTGGTTCTCTCCAGGTAAGAGGGCAGAGTGGGAAGCTTGGGAGCTTTGAGGCACAGAGTAGCTGGGCCAGCACCATCAGGATTATCTTAACTTCCTGTCTCCTTGCAGAGCCTCGAGATCCCTGAGTGAGGGCCACCCCGAAGCACAGCATGAAAAAATGCTCTGTGACAGTTGGTGTATTGAGGTGAGCCTTGGAGCTACCCGGCACAGGTCGGGAATTGAGACAGAGGCCTGACCCTCTTCTTCCCTCTCCCCAGGCTGCAGCACGGATCCGAGAAAATATGGCTAACCTGCAATCCAGCCCTCAGCAGCAGCTCTTCCGTAACTTCAAAAGCATCTCCAAGGCTATGGTGGAGAGTGGTGGCCTGGTCACCAGCAACCCCCTTCGGATCTGACTCCTCCCACTCAGGCCCTACCACCTAAGTTATGTGCCTTTTCTTATGCCAAACACGGGGCCAACTTCTGTGTGTCCTCTGGCGTACTTTATGGCCTTAAGAACAATAAACTTTCTAGTAAGCCACCACCCTTGGCTGCTGCATCTCACCAGTCCCTCCTCTCCACAGCCTGCTTCCCTCCCAACTTTCTAACAAGCCACCCTCTTCTGCTGGACCTGACTGGACCTGACTGGTCCCTCCTTGTGTCTGTCTCCCTCGGTTCCTCTTCTGCACTGCCTGCCTCCCAAAGAAAGGAGCCAGAGGCTTTGGGAATTGGCCTCTATTGCTTTATTTTGTGTTTTATACAAGTGACTAAAATAAATAGAGTAACAAAGGCAGCTACACAGTCCCCAAGTGCACCACCAGCTTTCCTGGACTGCTGTCTAGGGTACCCAGCCCAACTTCCTCTTCCCAGGGTACCACCAACCACCACCCACCCTCCAGGTGACGGCTAACTAGGCAATTGGAGGTGGTGGTCATATTCTGGGGTTAGAAGGGACCCAGGAAATTTCATATGAAGGGATTCTTCATATAAAAGAAATGTCTATAAAAAATATTCCCCAAAATATAAGAAAGTCTATTTTAACCCCCAAAAAGGCTTATAAAAAAATAAAGCTACAAATAACCAAAGGTCCCGATTACCCCTGAGGAAGGGGAAGGACCAGGCACTGCTGGTGAGAGTCACAGTGGCAAAAATCTTGTGGTAGGTACCAAGCACCAGGATGAACCCAGTCACTACGAGGAGCACCAAGCTGAAATTTGACAGGCCAAGGGCACAGACCCAACATGGTCTCAAGGTGGGCCCTACATAACATCTACAAAAAATTCACTGGGATTGCCCATGGCCATGTGGAAGCTCTGACGGCTAGCTGTCAGTTCTGGGGGCACAGAGCCCAGGTCTCTGACTGGAGGAGCACCAGGGGGCTGCACTGCAGTAGAGACAGGGGGAGGGGGTGGGGGCATCATGACAACCATCATGGGATTATAGGGGAGGGCCATGCCAGGGGGAGGGCCGTAGGGATGGAGCCCTGGGAGGGCTCGAAGATTAGGAGTACCGCCTGTTGAGCCCCTGGATGGAGGGGGGCCCCCATCACCAGTCCCACCAGGCTCCCCACCCCGCCGAAGGCTGCCTCCGCGGCTGGACAGCTCGGACTCACTGCCGCTGCCAGACTTGGACTCAGGGGCCCGCTCCTCAGGCCTGCCTGTGCGCCCGGCCCCCCCATCACTTCTCGTTGACCCACTGCTCCGGCTCCCTGTTGGAAGGGGGGAGGGAACGGGGTAAGTGAAGCTCAGCACAGAGCCCCCTGGATTCCCCCAGCCCCTGCTCTTGCCTCTCCTCCGAGTTCCCTCTACTAGCTGTACTGGTATGTGGGGGTGACTTACCTTCACTGTGCTGGCTGCTGGCACTGCCTCCACCATAAGTATAAGATGAAAGCTCGTGGTAGGGTGGGGGCTGTGGGCTGTAGGGGTGTGGGGCTGGATACTGGTAGGAGAAGGTAGGCAGCAGGGGCCAGGGGGTAGCTCCAGGAAGAGGAGCCAGGGTATCCTGGTCTGAAGCCCCGCTGGAGCCATCATTGTCATTCAGAGACAGGTTAACTAGGTCTGGAACAAAAAGGAAGAGCGGTCCCTGTTTTAAGAGGCTAGGATTCCTGGGAGCAGACAGAAACCGGTAACCATTTCTCCAGAGCCACTCACAATGAGAAGGGCACAGAGATCATGATGGCCTGGAAACAGGAAACTCTGCTACGAGGGCAGAGACACAGCCAGGGTCACCATCGCTAGCCCAATATACTTCTGTGGGATTCATTAAGCATTTTCCCCCTTGGGAATACTGCTCTGGTACCTGGTTTGTTCAGCCCCACGGTTCGCCACTGCAAGGCCAAGTGTGGATACACAGTGCCTGAATACCCTGGGGGCCCTGGCTACTTTCTGGACCAGGTTTAGGGTTGGACTGAAGAAAAAGGCAGGACAACCTGCTGTCCCACACCAGGGCAGGTGACTTACAACTCTCACAGCCACCACTGAGGTCTCCGAAGACATAATAGCACTGCTCAGAAAAAGTTATCTTGTTGACAGTATGCCGGATGAGTCCCGCCTTCAATAGCCCGCTGGCATATTTTCTGGCCTCCCGGCGCTCAGGAAAACCTTCCACATGATGGTACAGCCAGTCTACCACATCTGAGCCTGAGATCAGCCACAGTGGAAGAAGTCAGATTCTCCTCTCAATGTCTACCCTCCCCTAGTGCTGCTCCCAGCCTTGGCCTCTTCCTCCCCTTCTCATGCCACCTTGCTCAGGGCCTGGGAATACCTAGAAAGGCATTTGGGATGGTGATCTTGAGCCACATGCGGTCCCGGACTTCTAGCCCAGACTCTGGGGCTGCCATAGCCTTGGTCACAGAGGCCATGTCCATGTGGATGGAGAGACCCCGGCTTTCACAGCCTGACAGAGGAGACAACAGAGAACTGAGAAAGGTCCCCTCATACAGGGAGGTGGGGAGGGGCTCGAGACTCACCATCAGGCAGGGAGGAGCCGGATGTGATAGTGCTCATAGATGAAGAGCCTGGGTAAGCAGGGAAGGTGCCAGTCAGTGCAGCGGAGTGCGACACCCAGGCAGCAGGATCAATTGGCTGGATGGGCTCATCTGGAACAAAAATAAAATAATCACCAAGATCCTAGAAAATAAGCCCCGTACACTCCATTAAGAATACTGTTGTACCCCTCCCTTGGCCTTCCTGAACCCATTCCCTGTAACTTGAAAGCCCAGCCCCATCTTCTGGCCCTTCTAGTTTCTTTTTGTTCTTGATTGTTTGAGGTAGGGTTTCATTCTGTAGCCCAGGCCGGCCTGGAACTCACTATGTATTCCAGGCTGGCCTCGAACTTTGGGAGAGCCTCCTGTCTTAGCTTCCCAGGTGCCAGGATTGCAAGCTTAAGCCACCATGCCCAGGCTCCCCAGATCTCTTAACTTCAGACCCCTGCCTGAGCATCACTCACTTCGGGGGAGGGTGAAGTAAGCCTGGGGAGAGGGATCCCAACACTTGGCCACGGTCAGCACGATGGGGCTGTGGGGAAGAGAAGGCCAGTCAAGCAAGTAGAGGGGAAAGACCTCAGGAGGCCCAAGGCCTGATACAAGGATTAAGACACAGAGAACCGGGCTGGAGCAAGTGAGAGAGGGGGTTCCACAGTGAGGATGACTCACCAATATGGTGAGTTAAAATCACACTGCTGAGTGAAACAGGGAGTACACACTGTACAATTCATTCACAGGAAGCGTGACACAGGTAACACTGAACCATCGTGTTCCAGGATTCAGGCATGGGTGGAAAACCATCAACAGTTTTCTTGACCAAAGAAGTCAATTACCACAGTGAGAAGGGTGGCGTGGGAAGGGGTGCGCAGTGGGTGGGCTTTCTGAGGTACTCACATTTGGTTCATGATTAGGCTGGAGAGACATGTACAGCCACTTCGATTTGTTATTTTTTGTTTGTTTGTTTTGTTTTGAGACAGGGTCTCACTATGTAGATGTACCTGGCTGGTCTGGAACTCACTATGTATACCAGGCTGGCTTCATAACCAGAGAGCCACCTGTCTCTGCCTCAAAGGTGCTATAATTACAGGTGTGTGTCACTATGCCCAGCCTCGCTTCTTTTTTAAATTGCAAAATAAAGGCGAAATGGCTTAAAAACAAAAGGCCTAAGGACCAGAACCCATGCGGGCTCACCCTGGTTTGTGCACAATATCCCTCAGCACCCGCACGGCGTCATCATTGCTCATGTTCTCAAAGTTCATGTCATTCACCTGGAAGGGAGGAGAAGTGGCTCAGAGGCAGTGTGGGAGAGTGAGATCCTCTCCCAAGCCGGCAGCCAATTGGTCAGCATACCTGCAAAAGCATGTCTCCAGGCTCAATACGGCCATCAGCAGCCACAGCGCCCCCCTTCATGATGGAGCCGATGTAGATGCCTCCGTCACCCCGCTCATTACTCTGGCCCACGATGGAGATACCCAGGAAGTTGTACTTCTCTGTGGAGGGAGCTCACATGAGGGGACTAAGGCCCAGAAACCCTGGAGACCCTCTTCTCCCCTCCTCTCATGGGGACCTTCCATACCCATGTTGAGTGTGACTGTGATGATGTTGAGGGACATTGTGGAATCGGTGACACTGCTGAAGGATGAGGTCTGTGACAGAGACAGAGAAGAAAGGTGAAGGCTCTTCATCAACAGAGACGAGCCCTAAGCCTCTTGTCAAAGGACCAGCTAAACTAAGGCCCGCTTCTCCCAAAAGAGCCCTCACCCTTTCCATGCGTGGTGGCCGCTGCTTCCTCCGCCTTCGGTGGCGCTTGAGGAGGCGGGAGGCACTGCTCTGCTCGGTGGAGCTGCTGAATCTGATACAGTCGAGAAGCAGGACATGCGGAGGTGGAAGTGGTCAGGGGCCACATGGAATGGAATAACAAGAAGACTAACGGGACGGAGGGGAGAGCAGGGGAGGGCAGGACGGGAGAGGAGGTGATGGAGGAAGCCCTGGGCAGAGACAGAGATGTGTGAAACACACCTGCTCATGGTGTCATCCTCATCAGAGTCTCCTAGGCTGGTGCTCTCCAGCTCACTGGTCATGAGAGTGGAGGAACTCTCGTACCCAGCCAGATGGCGCTCCAGCCTTGAGGTGCCACTGGGCCTGTGGCCACCTGCTATGTATAAATGAGAACCTCAGGACCAGGCCTCCCACTCTTCATGCTGAGGTTTGCCTCCCCTCCCAGGTCCCAGTCTACCCTGCCTCCAGGGCTGTCCCCTCACCGCCATGCTCACTGCTGTCTCTCCTTCGAGGTCGTTCTCGTCTCAGCGACACAACAGACTCAGTTTCTGTCTCAGGCTCTAGATTTTCATGGCTGCTGGATACATTAGGGCTACATAGGTAGAGACAGTTTTCAAACAATGTCAGCGGGGCAGAGTACCGAATCCTCAGTCTCCCCTCTCCAAGGGCGTGGGCTGGAGGCTATCTTCGCTTCCCTCCCCAGGACTCAAGAACATAAAGGACTCACTGGAAGGACGGCGGCCTTGAGTCCCCAATGCCACTGGTCCTTTCTGGAGGCAAAGGAGGTAATGGCGGAGGTGGAGGAACCAGCTCTGTCCGAGACTCATGGGCTGGGGGAGCCATCTCAGGCTGGGGGTTATCTGATGACACTAGCTAAAGGGGGCAAGAAAACATGGCTCCACTGGGTAGCTGTTTAAGTGGCAAGATTATGGGAAATGGGCAGAGAGAGGCCAGGGTCTCAGAAGCCTAGAACAACCCAGGAAAAAAGCAACCAGTATGGGAGGCTACAGAAAGAGAAGGCTGAGGAATATCCACTGCTTCTATGAAGAGAGACGTGGGCAGCCAGGGCCCCCAATGACTGGACAGCGGGGGAGGCCGTAGGAAGACTGAGGTTGGAAGCAGCTTGGTAATACCTCCCCTTACCCAGGAGACAACCCTTCCATTGAAGCATGGGAGGCGTGCATTGTCGTCTGAAATCTCTTCCTTCACCACCCTGTGGAGAAAGCAGAGCGGTCAGGAAGATGCCAGGCATGTTGGCTCACACCTTCAACTCTAACACTTGGAAGGCAGAGGCAGGAGGGTTACATAGAGACCCTGTCTCAAAAAAAAACAAACAAAACAAAACAAAAATCCAGAAGCAGCAGCAGCAAGCAGCAGCACTTGGGAGGCAGAGCAGGCAGATCCAAGGCCAGCCTGGTCTACACAGTGAATTCCAGGACAGCCAACACTACAGAAAAACCCTGTCTGGAAAACTGAGAGCACAAGCAAGAGAGAGAGAGACTAGTACCCCCATTCAAATCTCATTCAAAGTCTCTCCCAATCTCCATTCTATCCAAGCATGTTGACTCAGGCTAGCACCCTGTATGTTTTTGAACGTGCATGTCCGTGTGAATGACAGTCACTGACCTGAGTGTGTGAGGGCGCCTGCAGAGCACAGGAGAGGGCAATAGGCCCCAGAGCTGGACTCACTGGCAGTCTGAGCTACTATTTGGGTGCTAGGAACTGAACTCAGGTCCTCTAAAAGATGACCAAGCCATCTCTCCAGACCCAATCCTCTGCCTTTGGGGGGGAGGGGGCAGAGGCCCTCATTTTGTACCCTAGGATGGCCTGGAATTCACTATATAGATCAGTCTCAGTCTCAAACTCACAGAGCCCTGCCTGCCTCTGCCTCCTGGGACTACAGGCGTGTCACCATGACTGTCACCCTTTACCATGGGGCCTGGCTCCTATGCTTCTACAATGAAACTATTTCTTTCCACATGTAAATAAACTCCAGCTGCTCTCCTGATCTTACTCTACCCTCAGCCCCAGCTCATCCTTAGAGACCCAATGCTCCTCCAAAGACTTCTTCCTGGGCTGGAGAGATGGCTCAGCGGTTAAGAGCACTGACTGTTCTTCCAGAGGACCTAAGTTCAATTCCCAGCAACCACATGGTGGCTCACAACCATCTGTAACGAGATCTGGTGCCCTCTGGCCTGCAGGCATGCATGGAGGCAGACTTTCTATACATAATAAATAAAATCTTAAAAAAAAAAAAAAAAAAAAAAAGACTTCTTCCCATTTGATCCAAACCTCAAAGTACCACTCCACAGGCCTTCTGGGACAGTTCTCCAGTGCTCCAAATATCTAACTTAGGAGCCTTGCTAACCTTATCTCCGTTCTACACATCTGTCCCATAAAATGCTCTGGTCCCTGTGTAATTCTCTGCTGTGCAGTTCTCTCTAATTCACATCCAGAGACTGTCCAGATGTGTGGCCTTTGCTGGGTAAAAACACCCTTCATGCAACCATAATACTCCCCACTAGGAGAGCTCCCACAAAGAGGGGAACTAGCTTCCCATTTCCCGGCTGCCTCATCTCATTAAGCAATCTGCTCAGCCTGAAAAACCCTGAAGCCCAGCCTGGGAGGCCAGCCTCCCACAGGTTCCTGCAGCAGACTAGACTTGTTCCTTCTCAATACCCACAAGAAATCATTAGCACCTATTCAACATGTGCCCTGGGTGTGCAGCGCCAGCCTCTACACTTAATAAGCATTAGCAAGTACATGGTGACAAAGTATGAGACATGAAGCCTGCTTCCACATACACACACCCTCACCTTCAAACTACAACTTCTTGTCCGGGGGCTGGAGAGCTGGCTCAGTTGGCTCTTGCAGAAGACCCAGGTTTAGTTCCCAGCACCCACATAGTAAGTAGCTCGCAACCGTCCGTAACTCCAGTTCCGAGATCTGACCGTCTTTTCTAATGTTCACAGGCAGCAGGCATGCACATGGTGCACATACATACATGCGTGCGGGCAAAACACTCATATATATAAAATTAAACAAAAAAGGTCTAAAAAATAAAGATAATAAAACCTCTTGGCCAATTAACCCTAGCCTAATACACTCCGGGGCCTTGGGTATATGACTCATTTTGAGGTATGTATATGTCTCATACACCCGCTGTCAAGATGACAGAGCCCAGTCCCCACTGGTCTGCTCAGTGTGTACAACTCTTCCCAAGATAACCCAACCTCAGCAGGGCCCAGTCTCCTTCAAGGCAGGCAATTTCGTATCACTATAATCTAGTCTACGAACTAGTTAGCCTCAGTACTAAATGAATTTACCATGTGCTGTGCACCTAAATTAAGCCTTTTACACTATGATTATCATCAATCCATAGATGAAGAAATCAAAGCACAAAAGCTAAATAAATTGCCTGAAATTATAATGCAAAAAGAAGAACCTTGACTTAAATCCAAGACAACCCCCTAGACAGTATCACTTTGCCCATGTCGAACAATCTTTAGCGAGAGTCCAGTTTGTTCCGTTCCAGCTGACGGGGAATATGCTCCAACCGAAGACTTCACAAGTAAGGGAGTCTCTCCCCAAGCCAGGCCGTAGATAACCTTTCCTCCCAGCACCCTGTTATCCCCTGCTGATGCCAACTCAGGGTATCTGACCCTAATGCACTCTACCTTCCAACCCTGAGCCCAAGGACTCACAGAAGGTTCAGTCCCAGGAGCGACAAAACAAAAGGCTGCCTTACTCTGCATCTTCATCCAGCCCAGAATCACCCAGAATGTCCCAAATTACCCCAGAACCCAATCTATTCTACTAGAGCCCCAGGGTCTCCACGCAAGCAGCTATCTGCACCAGTCTCATCTGCGAGACCCCAATACAGCTGTCTGGACTGGCACCACCAGCATATTTGTATCTATCTGTCCCCGTCTTGTAACAATAAACCCAGGTCTAGGCCATGTATAGTGTCGCCCATCTCTGGTCCTGGCACTCAGGATACAGAAGTAGAGCAAAGGCCGCTACAGGTTCAAGGTGAGCCTGTTCCACACTGTGAGCTCTAGCTAGTTTTAGTTACAGAATGAAATCCTGTCTTAGCAGTTAAGAGCACTGACTGCTCTTCCAAAGGACTGGAGTGCAATTCCCAGCACCCACATAGTGGCTCACATATATAACTCCAGTTCCAAGAGACCCCATGCCATCTTCTGATTTGTGTGGGCATTGCATGCTTGTGGTGCACAAATAAGCACCCATGCAAAACACCCATACACATAAAATATCTTTAAAATAAAACAAACAAACCTCCAATTTCCTCCCCACCAAGGGGTAAGGAAAGAAGGTCTAGCCCTAAGAGAAAATAAGAAGACCCCAGTAGAGTCCAGAATGGTGCAAACTTTGCCAGAAAAATCTACTTCTAAACAGCCTAAGATATTCCAACAGAGACCTCTCTTCATTATTACAGATTACACCGTCCCAAAATAATAATACTATGGAACCTAATTAATAAACCAGGATAGCCTAGATTGTCTAACGCTAAGCCCAATCTACATAATGACTCTGCATGCCCAGCGTATTGGCTCACACCTGTTAATTCGAGCTCTCAAGGCTGAAGCAGGAACTCTATTAGTTCGAAATCAGCCTAGGATACAAAGAATAAGGCCCTGTCTCATAACAAAAGAACAAATCAAAACGAGCAAATAAACAAACAAAAAGCTACAGAATAGTCCTATATAATTCTCGTGCAGACGTCTGAGAACACACCAGACTACCAAAAGATAAATGAATCTTAAATCAGCACATCCTAGACTGTCTACAAGCATCGCCTCTTAGCCTTTTGGCTAAAATCAAGTGGGGAGAATGGTGAAACAAACCAGTGTGTCCCATTATTCCAACTAAATTTCCTTGCCTCTGGTTTACTAAAGTCTAGTCCGTTCTTCTCAAGCTCTCTGTGTTCAACCTTGTCCGTCTTGGGATGGGCGATCAACCATAGCATAGCACAATATGCTAGATTCCACTACAGGCCAGAAAAATTCCAAGGCAGACCTGTCCCCCTCAATATCGCCCAATCCATTCTAGCACACCCATCGTCCTTCCCAGTCTAGGCCTCGCGCTTACCCAAAATCCTGATCCATAGACTTGAAAAAGTACTTAGCGCCCGCAGGCCGCTGCAAAACGCTCTTGAAATCGCCGAGGGTGATGCGCTCTGCCGGGACAGGAATCTTCACCAGGTAGGGAGTCTCTTCCTCATCCAGATGGTAAATCACCTTCGTCTCGCCTACACCACCGCCCCCCGCGCCGCTGCCCGCCATGGTCTCGCTCGCGCGCTCCCGGGCTCAGCCGCCCACCCAACGGGACTAGGAGCCCCCGCCGCGCCTGCGCACACCCGCAAACTGACGTGCTACCGCCGACAGGGCAGGGCCAGTGCGGGAGACGCGCCCAAGGAGGACGGCGTGGAGCAGCGGGGTGATAGCTTAGAGCCGTAGAGCAAGACCCAAAGCTCTGGACCCCAAAGCCGATGTCCACCACCACCAGCACCACCGCCACCAACGTCGCGAACACTATCGAGGTCCCCGCCCCACCTCTCCCCATGCCACGTGACACAAGCCCGCCCACTTTGCGCAGCCGACCGTCCTTCACGTGATTTTCCTGTGTCACGTTACTATATAAGCTCCTCCTAGACCCTCACGTGATCGCTGCCTTGAGCAACGGTCTTCGGCCCTCAATGACTCCACCCCCAAGCGTGCACCCCGCCCCACACCAAGTACTACGGCCAACCCGGCTTCAGCTCTTAGAATGCGGACGAGGGGCTCCCACTTTGCTTTACCCATTCCAAACCCAGAGCTCAATACACCTCAGGGGCAACTATGGGGGATGAGCGGGCAGGTTATCAGTAAAGCGAGAATTGCAAACCAAAGTGGCCCCTTAGGGTGGCCTCTGGCTTGAGAAAAGCTGGGAGCTAGTCCAAGATTTAACTTTGGGTGAGGGAGGATGATGTGGGGCTTTGACTTCATGTAGTCAAGCCAGCCTTAGCCCCTAAATCTTCTGTCTCCATCTCCCAAATTGTGCAATTACAGCCCTGGACCCTAAAGGTGGGTTTCAGTCCCAACTCCAGTAAGACAACTGCCAGGTTTCCCCAAGACCCCCCTGCCCAAACAGGACAACGAGGATTGCAAAACACAAGAGCCCACTCTGCTTTATTTACAACACGCTGGCTGTCTGTACAAGCAGCCAGCCAATATTATTAAAAACGAGGCTAGTGATAATTGACACCTTTTGCTTTCCTCCCCCACTCCACCAGGTATGGTACTCCGCCTTTGAACAACCACCATGCTCAAACATGGGGAGTCCAAAATTAAAAATACAACCGGTGTGGAAGAAAGTGAACGAGAGTGGGAGAGAGGAAACCATGAGGGAGTGCTGTATTTACACTACAGTTTATAGACAACTATCCCGTTACAGCCCAGTCTGAGCCTGGCCCTGAATGTGGAAAAGGGTGGCAGGTTCACCGGACAGATTTTGTCTATAAAGCCAGCCTCCCCTGACCCAACTGTAATGGGTCCAATTCAAGTTCACGGAGCAGGAAGGACAGAGAAGACACTCAAATAAGTCTCCCTCGGGAATTCCGGCCTTGAAGAGGCTGAAGACTCTGAGGCTCAGTTCCCAAGTAATGTCAAAGTTCCAGCCTCAAAGAGTGATGTCAGGGTTCTCCCGATTTAGGAAGACCCCCTAACCGCCGGGCCTCTGGCCGAAGTTCCTTGCATTTCTGGCAATAAAAGAAGTCAGGAACGTTGGTCTTTTTAATCTTAGCGCAGGAGAGGTGGATCCACGTCCCACACAGGCTGCACTCAATCATGGGCCGCCCAGCAAAGGGCTTTCTGCAGTAACATGTGATCAGATCCCACGAGTCATCACCTACAAAAAGAAAGTTTGTTTAGTGTTTGGCTTTAAGGCTAGGCTCATCATGTCCCCCAAACCCATCATCCCGGCTCCCCACCCTGAGCAATTATAAACCTTCTCACCTGATTCCACCATGATGTCCTCATCCATGACCCGCATCTCGCCTTCACTGGAGCTGGCATCTCCATCTTGGCTTGTTTCTGTGCTGCCCACCTCCTTGCCTTCACTGTCAGTAGGGGGAGCACCTTCAGGGTGTACTGTAACAGGGGGCCTGGGGGCTTCAGGGGGAGCTGGGAGCACAGGGACTGGGACTTCACCACCCACCACTGCTGTCATCTCTTCTTCATCCTCCTCCTCCTCCTCTTCCTCCTCCTCTTCAGAGTCTGTATCACTGGGAGGTGCCCTAGGAGGGCCAGGAGGTGGGAGTCTATCCCCACGATCTCCCTTTTTCAACTTCCGCTTCTTGCTCTTCTTGATTCGAGATCGTTTTTCCCCATCCCCAGGAGCCGGTCGAGGCCTCCGAAGCACCCCAAAGCCAGCCCCACCCCCTGGTCCCAATTTTCTGTTCTTTCGGTCCTTCTTTCGAGGCTGAGAAAGGTCCCCCTGGGAAAGTGGCACAGGAGTGAGAGCAGCAGGGGACCGGGAGGTATGCGTCAGGGACGTGGGAGACAGTGGAGATGCCACTTTGGGCCCATCCAGATCAAACAGAGAGTCCTTGAGCTTCATCTTCTCCAGCAAAGTGGCACTGTCAGGGGCCTGCAGACGAGAGAAAGTGGACCTTGGGGGTCCTGGCTGGGTAGGACCTGCTTGAGCTGCCCTCCTCTTTGATGATTTTGCTTTCTTAACAAAAGTCTGGATAGTTCGAAGGTCCGAGGGGGCTGAGTCCCAGCCATCACTGTCCGCTGCACTCTCACCTCGCAATGGAGAGCTAGAGCCAGAAGCTGGCCAATCGCTTTCCTTAAAAGGAGGAAGAGACCAGGATCAGCAGGAGTCTAGTGACAGCTCAGCCCTGCCACACAGCCAGCACAAAAACCAGGAACTAGACATGTCTCTACCCCAAACCTTCACCCAGTCTTCATCAGTATCTCCCCAGGGCTCCTGCCTGGAGCAGTGTTCTGTAGCTCATTTGCTCATATACTTGCCTCCTTCCAACTTACTGGAAATTTTCCATTTAACAACACAAAAAAGACCACTGAAAAAAATCTTGACCAACACTCCAAACTTTTGTTAATGCTGTCGAAGCCAGTTATTGCCGCGACTCCATCCCTCCACCCCAGCTTTCCCACCACAGCCCTAAAATCTTCCAGTTTTCTCAGTCTTACATATTATTACAGCAGGATCTTCCTATAAAGTAGTTCACACTGACTCACGTCAGCCACTTTTCCATTTCCTACCTCTTTGCTAGGAGGGATGTAACCCGCGTAAGCCAAGACAAAACTGCAGAATTTGTTGAAATCCTCAATTGTTCTCCGTCGTTTCTCTGGTGGCTAAAAGGGAGGAAACATGGATCAAATGGAAGCCAGGCACGAATGTTATAGGGCCATTTCCACAATCTCAGCCCCCAAATTGTCAAGCAGTCACTAGCCAAAAGTACGGGACAGCTCACCTGAGTCTCAGGCTTAAGAGTCGGAGGTGGATCTGTGAAATCAATAAAAGCTGAGTCAAGGCACTAGGAAAGAGACCAAAATCCTCCATCTAGACTTCGGCGGTCTCAACCTAATCCCACCGACTGACTGTTAGATCGCCCGGCCAAGCCAGCCAGCCCCCAGCTGTGCCGGACCCGCCCCTGCTCCCCCCTTCCGCCCCAAGGGGCGGAGCCTGGGCGCGGCGCCCTCACCGGCCTCGCTATAGCGCTCCCCTTCCCCCAACCAGAGGCCCAGCGCCCCGCCCCCTCCCAGCCTCTCCAGTCAACTCGGATCTCTTGGCGCCCCACCCCGCCATACCGCTCCCGGGGCGAGACCAGGCCACCGCCCGCCCCCGTCCTTCACACGCGCCCGCCTGGAGCCCGGAGTTCCTACCCGGCCGCGCTCCACTGCCCTGGGCTCTGCACGGCGGCCAGCCCGCCCCAGGGGCCAGGATGACCACGCTGAACTGCTCCCCGCCCTCCGGCCCCTTCTACTCGAACACGAGGCCGGGCGCGCCCCTTACCCCCACCCAAAACACACGCGGGCACACACTCCCAGCACTACTTCGCGTCCGGGACAGGCAGAGAGCTGCAGCCCGGACACAGCCCCACCTGCCCCCCCACCGCCGCGCTCCCCACAATTTCGCTGTCCCTCCGCCCCCATCCGGGGCTTTGGCCCCTCCCCGTCTCGAGCTCTTCGGGCTCCCCGCCGGGCCCCCGGGCCCAGTTCCGAGCTTCTCCGG